CTCCCCCGGGCCCAGCTGGCCCTGGGGTGCAGTGGCTGCTGCTCGCCATGGCCGGGAGGCAGCGCCCCACGTCTGGGGGTCTCAGGCCACACCAGTGAGCAGGATGCACCAGTGGCATTGGGAGAGCTGTACAGTGTCCCTGTCCCATCAGCTGTGGGGGGGCAGCCCTGGCAGGCTGGGGGCATAGTGGCCTGGGGGGGGCTATGTGCCAGGACTGATGGCAGAGGAAAGCAGAACCTGGTATGATTCTCCTCAGGGGCTGACCCTGTTCTGTCCTGACATGTCCGCAGGCAAAGGTGTCACAGCTCCCGAGAAGATCGGCGTGACTGGCCTGCTGGGGAAGGGCTCTGCCTGCCACGTCCCTGTCCCTCCTGCAGCGGCTGGAGGGGATGCTGGTGGGCAGGCCTGGGCTGCTGGCGGCGCTGGAGGAGGTGAGGGTGCCAGCTGTGGCGCCTGCCCACCCTGCTGTGCTCCCCCCAGGTTGTGGAGCTGGATCCTGCTGCTACTGTGCAAAGGGGACTGTGGTGGGGTGGGCGCCCGAGGACTGCCCAGGGAACATGGCCCAGGAGTGGCAGCAGGCTGCCCTGCTGCAGCGCAGGCAGAGCAGGGGCCCTGGGGCAAGCAGCAGCGAGAGCAGCAGGGCCTGGGGGTGTTTGATCGCCGCTGGGGTCTGGCCACAGGCATGCTGTGTTCACTCGTGGCTACTCAGCACCCTTTGGGCAAGACTGGACCCACCCCTCTCCTGCTCAGGCACTCGGAGTTTGGAGACACTTTGTCTCTGGTCTCTGCTGTCTCCCATGCCCCAGGAACCAGGACTGCAGACCCTTGGCCCCGTCCTTGGTGCCTCTGCATCAGCCTCCGGACCATGGCTCCCCTCAGGCCACCAGCAGAAACCTTCTGGGGGTGGTAAGTGCTCATGGGCTCCGGCAGCAGAAAGTGTGCATGCGTGCATAGAGCACGGGTCAGTGTAGCTGCTTCCCAAAGCCATTGGGTTTCTTCCCCTCTGCACTTCCTTCCCAGTGAAGCCCCCTCCCAGCTCAGCTGCCCTGGGGCTCTGGATTCTGCCCCTGCCTGGTGTCCTGGCCACCTCTGGGCACTGTGCAGCAGTGGGAGGCTGGCCCTGCTGTGACCCCCCAGCACAGCCCAAAAGTCAGAGCACGCCTGAGCACTGACACACATTGAGGGATGCAGCAGCCCTGGGCTGCAGCTGGCAGGGGAACCCTGCAACACCAGGTCCCAGTGCGGGGGTCCAGGACAGGCCTGCGGCAGAGCAAGTTTGTCTTTCAGAAGCGCTGAGCACTGATGGATTTCTCAGCAGCAATGTGGAGCTGGAGACCCCAAAGAGCAAGGAGGAGGCAGGTGATGACTGGGAGGAGAGTGCCCAGAGCAGCAGCTCTCTGCCTCCAGGGGCGAGGGGCTGCCTGGGGAGGGAGGACAGAGACACTGCCTTGGGGTGCACAGCCCTGCCAGCTCATGCAGCAGAAGCTAGACCAGACCCTGGGAGGAGGTGGGTGGCCCAAAACTGGACTCCTGGCAAGCAGAGAGGCTTTGGCACAGATGCCAAGGCAAATACAGGGACAGCGCAAGCCTGGGTGAGCTGCCTGGCCTCATGGCCTGGGGCCATCTCTGCTGCAGCCGCACAGGCGAGCAGGGCAGACCCTGCACACCGCTGTCCCCTGGGGCTCCCCAAAAGGCCCCTGGAACCTGCCCAGAGGGCCAGGGGCTCTATGCTCACCGCAGCTGGGTGGCTGCAAGCTCAGCTTTGGGGAAGGAGTCTTGCAGCGAGCCCAGGGGTGGGACAGATTCTGGAGGTGGAGGAGAGGTGCACCAGAAGAGCTTTAACCCTTGTGTGATCTTCCGCTCCTTGCCCGAGGCCAGGCTCAGAGCTCCTCCTTAGTGGAGATCCTGGATCACTTGCAGTGAGAGAGCTTGGCACTCACTGCCACCCGGCTCCTGTTGCTTGGCGTAATTTGGCCCAGCCCCACAGCATCAGGCAGGCTGAGATGAGGGAGCTGCCAGGCGCAGCCGAGTCACGGCGCTGCGTGCTCGCCGCCCCTCACACCAAGGGTGCAAGGTGACGCAGCACTGCCGGCCCCCCAGGAGCAAGGGCTCCGCTCTGTGGCAGGGGCCCTGCTGGCCCAGGGAGAAGCAGCTGCTTCTGGTTGCAGCAGGAAATACCATCCCATCCCATCCCATCCCATCCCATCCGCTCCGCAGAGCGGCGCAGAGCTTGCAAGGCAGCCCTTAGCGCAGAGCACACGGGGCACCCCTGCCTGTATGCTCATGTGGGTAGCGTGAGCTGGAAATTTGTTCAACTGGGGGCCAAAACGAAGACATTGAAACAAGGGAGGGAGGAATGCAAGGCAAGCGGGAGACCTGGGGCCTGATGGCATGATACAGCCCTGCTCTGCTCCTGCTCACCCCCTTCTTTTGGGTTTCAGGCACCTGAAGCTACAATTCTGCATGAGTACAGCCGCTTCGGGACGGCGAGGGCAGGGACCAGGCTCCCCCAGGGATGACCCACACCTATTTTTTCCCCCTTCAGGCTCATCCTAGCTACCAGCAGAAGAATCGCTGTCAATACCTCCACCAGAAGCTGCCTCACATCAAATCCTGATTCTACTGCTGCAGTTCTTTTGTCCCTGTCAGGGCCGGTCCCTGAATTGGTGGAGGAAGCAGATCCCTGGGGGTGCCTTAGCGCAAGGGTGAGGTTCAGGAATGTCTGGCTGCCATCAGTGCATCCTTCCTCAGATGTTTCCCTCAACTGAAGCCACATCAGCTTAACTGTGGCACACAGTAGGGATACCTGGGCAGCCACTGGCTCAACGCCTGTCCTCACGTCCTTGGTCCCTCTTGCCAGAAAGCTCCACCGCTTCAGCCAAGCCTGTGCTTACTTCCCCGCTGCTGGCCTGGGCGCCGATGCTGACGACGAGAGGGGCTCTGGGCCAAACCCCCCGAAGAACGCAACTCCTGCTTCGTGCCTCACTGCCACCAGGTCTGAAGTCACAGACTAGGGAGCAAAGCAGGGATCTGAAAGGCTTCCCCTGGCTCCCCCGGCCTGGTGCAGGGCAGTACCCTGTCCACGTGGGAAGCAGCGCTCTGGTTTGGTTTTGCGGAAGGCAGTTGTCAGCAGTCAGGAGTAGGGCCTGTTGCATTCCTCTGTTCCTTCCACCAGGGTCTGAAGCCTGCAGGCAGCCTGAGGCGCAAGGGCCACTCGCTGTCCACACTCCCCGCCCCCAAGGTGCCCCCATGTCTGTCCCGGGAGAGGGTGCACCCGACAGCCAGCAGCAGCGTACACGAGGTGGATGTGGTTTAAGACTGGTGTAGCTAGGGAAGGAATTCTTGTACTGCATAGCTGCTGCGGACAGAAAAACACGTGCCAAGCGCTGTATGATCTACGTACCTAGAGAATTCCAGCAGCGATAAGTAATTGGTTCGCAGCCTTTGGAGCTGTGGGGGAAGAATCCACAGAGAAAGCGAGCCCTGGCTCTTACCATGGTAACTGCTGCAACGCAGCAGTGCCTTCAGTCTGCCGTTGCTCGCTCCAGCTCACAGCGCCAGGGCGACAGCCCATCTCCTCACCCACCACCTCCTTCCTGACCTTCCTAGTCAGCACATTTTGGGCCAAAGGAAGGTCAGGCACAGCCCACGCCACCCGACTGCAGCAGAGGATCCTATTCCCCTCCCTCCCAAAGAGAGCGCCACAGCTACCAGCCTGCTTTCTACCAAGAGAGGTAATGACCTTACAGTTGACGGGTCTTAACCACACACAAGGCACAGATGAGCGTACTGGCTGGGAGGAACGTGCTCAGCACGGGCCCTCCCCATTTGGGCAGAGCATGTCCTTAGCGGCGCTCCTCCCCTACACTTGACTCCTTTTCCACCAGCTTAAAAGCCAATTTATTGCTGCTGCTTGCACGCTGCTGAGCCAGCCCTGTGCCAGACTGCTCCACATGCCTGCTAGAGCCAAGAGGCACATTAAGCGCTGCCTACCTCTGCACTCACTGAGGCAGCACGACTGCCCTATCAGGCAACATTGCAGGCAGACAGCAAAAGCACTTGTGACCAGAGTCCCGGAGCCCCAAATCTGCATAAATACAGCACCTGAAGCACAGCACATTGGGACAGTTGCTGCTACTGCGCTCTGGAAGGGCTCTCATTAGCAGAAGAAGGAGAACAGGCTAAAGGTTGAGCTTAATATCTAGAAACAGACTCCTAGAGGCTCACTGAAGGAAACTGGGCTCATATGAGAAGTCCCTGCCTATGAAGAGTGGGATCCTGGTGTTAGGCTTGACACGTCTCCACAGGACAGGGACGCTTCGTCTTAAGGGGGTTGTTTTATTGTTTCACTTCTCCAAATGTACAAAAAAAATTAGAAAATAACCCTGCCCCCCACCCCCTCCCAAACCACAAAACAAACCAGCCTGGGGAGCCCCACAACAGTGCAGCTAAGAGACGGCGGGAAATTAAACAGAACTAGATACAGCAGCTGGGTCCCCTCAGCCCACGTGGTCACTGGCTCTTCACAACCCAGAACTGGCCCCAGTCTGCCCAGTGCTTCCCCAATTCACACAGAGCTCATCCCGACAGGATGGCGAGTGGGTGCTTTACAAATCCTCCTTCACCTTCTTCTTGGATTTCTTGGTTTTATCTTCCTCCTGCAGCACGGGAGTGTTGGTTGCCTCCCGCTTCAAGTAGCTAACGAAGTCACTCACTTCCCTGCCACCCTGCAGAAAGCACAAGACAGTAAGGCAGTGCCTGTACTCCCTGTGGGACCCCCCTTCGCTAGAGGGGGAGCTCAGGTGCCAGGCAGGAGACCTAGTGACTGCACGCTCTGTGCTCCCCCATGGGTCTGCAGCACGCAGCAGAACATTCCCAGCAGGTACCTCTGGGTGCATTCCCAGGGTCACTAACAGGACAGAGTGCCACCCGCAACTCTAGAGGCTCAGCATTATTTGGACACCTGGATGCTACTTCATCTCTTTACAAAGCAGCAGAAGACTCACCTCATACTTCTTTGGACTCTGCTTCTTGCCAGCTGGAGCAAAATAGATGGTGGGGAAGCTGGGGAGAGAGAAGAGACATCCGAGCTCCTAACGTGCTCCGTTTCCTGTCAGACCAGCGGGCTGGCCCTCACTGAAGGGACTGGCACCCTGCACTGCTCTGGTTTAACGTGGTAACAGCTCCAGCAGCTCCTAAGCCAGCAGGTGTGGCCTCCAGCAGCCTGGCCACGTCCCCAGAGCTGGCCGAGCCCAGCCGTGTCCAGGTTTGCTAGCTAAACTGTTTTCAGAAAAGTGAGCCCAGCACTGCTTTTACGCTGCCAGGAACAGAATCACAGCAGACTCAAAAGCAGAGGAGGGGGTTCAGCGAGACAGGCCTCCAGGCACAGCCAGGACACCACAGTCCCAGAGAGCCAAGGCAGATGAGCGTCCTTTGTTTTCACTCCCGATTTCCCTACTCTGGCATGCGATTGCTAGGCATTTGCTTAATCACCCCCACCCATCCTCCCCAGGAGACTTTCAGCTCTTCTGTTGTGACTGTTGCTCAGAGACAGAAGCCTGAGCTCATCCAGTGACACGGTGCTGTAACAACAGTAAGACCTACCCTCTGACTTCATACGGAGAAGGCACATCATTGGCTGTAGCGTCCATTTTGGCAATGACAATATTGGGGTCTTTACTGAGCTGTTGGCAGAAAGAGCTTATTAGTGACTGATCCATGGTAGTTAACCCCAGGAACTCACTGATCATCATCAGCTAAGATAGTGATGTCAGAGGACAGTGCACATGCTATGCTGAAAGGCGAGCAAATGTCTCAACAGGGGCACAGGGACCAAAGCCCCTCCTCAGTCACCTGCAGGCAGCACACGTGTCCCAGCAGTACCGGCTGAGTTGGTCTGGTGTAACTCCTGGAGAACGCTCACCCCAGAGCAACTGCTTGCCTTCAACCCTAGAGCGAGCTGTGAGGACATGCAGTGCTCAGGAGGGAGGGGTGCCCCTCAGCCAAACAGCAAAAGGCTGGTCAGATCTGGGAGAACAGATTTATTTACTCCACTCGTGAAAGCGTGCAGGGGAGCGTTATCCTGCACCAGATGGGAGACAACGACCATGCAGGGGTAAAAGACCCAAAAAGGAACTTTGCCAGTTGAGGCCAGTCATTGAATTAGGGAATATCAGGCACAGGCTGAACCTACTAGTGTGGCTGCTACCAGGCTCCAGACCCTGCTGATGTACTTCTGCATTCACAGGAGATGCCAAAACTCACAGTCCTCAGGAAGGCACAATTACGCCCCGTTAACCATTAAGGCCAGACAGACAGAACCTGAAGGATGTTTAGTGCTGCAAAGTTTTAGTTTGCGTTTGCCAACAGACTCCCCGACCTACCTTCTCCCCCAATTCTTTGTATTTGGGCTCCAGATTCTTGCAATGGCCACACCAGGGTGCGTAAAACTCTATCAGGACATCTTTGTCTTCTGCATTAACGATTTCATCAAAGTTCTCAGCAACCACCACCTGGTAATGTTTGATCACACAAGTTAGTTTTTTCCCCGTCAAGGGATGCGCTAACATGACAGGCTCCATAGGCTGCCCAAGAAAGCCCGGCCCTCCTGCAGCAAGCAGAGTCACGCTGCACCTATGCAGCGAGCAGTAAAATGATCAAACACACAACTCTTCACCAAGCCATAACATCCTCAGCTTGCAGCTGAGAACCTGTCATAAGGTATCAGCACTACCTGCCAGTGAGGTTTGCACCTATTATCCTCACGGGAGTAGGACAAAATAACTTCTTTTTGATACCAGCAGGTTGCAGGCTGAGGAATCAGTTTAGCAAGACTGGCTGAGGCCATCCCCATCCGCACACAACAAGCAGTGACTTCCCCTCCCTTAGAAGGCCCTGATCATAGGGCCAGGCCACGGAACGCTTTCATTCAGGGCAGAACTTACAGGTAGCAGCTATACCCCATCCACCCCCGCACCCGCAGTGGTGACATGAACACCCAACTCCTTAGAAATAGTGTGGTCATGACCAGCCTGAAAGCCGTGTCACGAGGGAGCACAGGGAGAGACCGCAGGCCTTCACACAACCCCTGTAAACGTGGATGCTCCTGCACTGGCAGAGCACATCACTAGTGTGCTCGAGCAGCAGTTGCTATGCTGAGAGAACAACATGGAATCAAAGCCGCATGCTGTATTTCTCCCTTGGCTCAGAAAACCGCAATACAACAAGGGAGTGAGTTGTTCTTCCATCTATCACAGCAGAGGCTTCTCAAGATGCCACAGCGCAGCGCAGGACGCTGGCACATGACTACGGGCTGCTGCTGAAGCGTTCCTTCACCCGCTGGCAGGAGCTGCTGCTACGCTTGACAGAGCACTCACCTTCACAGGGCCATCGTTGCTTTCAGGGATAGGCTCTGATTTCAGATACTTTTTCAAGTTCCCATCGAAGTAATCCTGCAGGAATCTCTCCAGAGCCTTTCCATCACGCCTGAAAGTGCAGTGACGTTTTACAGCCATCATCATACATACAGGATGAGCAGGGAAAGCTTTCAAGGCTGATTTAAGCTCCTTCCACCCACATAACAGATGCCACCTGCATCTCCCAGAGCACCAGTCTGTGTCTGGCTTAGAAGATCCCAGAACAAGTGCAAAGATGCCCTGAAGAGTTTTGACAGGAGGCTGGATGCACACCCCATTGTAAGTTTTAGGCCTTCCAGCATTCTTTCTTTCTTCAAGAAGAGAGGTACAACTATTGCCTGTGCCCTTTAATGTATGTTATTAACCAGACACTTAAATGTCTTGAATTAAATTATCTACCTTTGTATAAACAGGAGGGGCTGCAAGCTCTATTCCTGTGTTTTCCTGCCCTCTAGAGGAGCCATTTTGACCCAGCAATCATTTCTTCCAGCTAGAACATCCAGCTTTCCTGTTTCCTCCAAACTAAGAAAGTACGATCTGGTCAGAGACCCCCAGACCAAAGTCCATCATGTGACAGGCAACATTGCTAAGTTCAAAAACTTACGAGAATTCTTCCTGCATGACGTATTTATCTCCTTTCGCGGTTCTGATGGCAACCACCGGAGCCTCACCCACACTGCTGTCTAGGCCAAACTCCGAAAGCTCATGACCAAAGGTTTTCCGACTCGCAACAGCAAAAGACAGCTTGTGGCCAGCATCTAAGAACTTCTTTGCAATCATCATAACTCTGAGGGGAAAAAAACCAACCACACAAATAATAAGTGTGATTCCACAGAACATCACCTTCCACGTGATGTAACACCCTTCAAGTCCAAGTGCACGCTGGACAAAGAATGCAATGGTGTGATGTGTTCCACGTAGGCAAGCCCTGTAGAAATGATGTTGAGAAGCAGAGGAGCGAGCTTGCAACTGCTGTGAATGAGGCCTGTGCAAGTGTTGTGTGCATTCATCCTCTGCCCATCAGCACGACCACCAGGGTCTCAGGCACTGGGGAAAGGATAGAATCCCACACAACACCAGTAAGGAAGTTCATGCTTAAGGTCTAAGGAGGAGGGATCCAAGCACTAGGAATCCAAAAGTGAGCAGGTGGGGCTTCAAAGGACACACAATGCTTTGGGCTCTGCAGGCAGCAGCCACCCCAACAGTTCCTATCAGAAACTCAGCTGGAACCTTTCTGGGAGAAGAATTCACACATGAACAGTAGGAGAAACTTTTGTCAACTGAGCTATGGCACAGCAGCCATGCAGGGAATGAGTGAGAGAAGCCCCCCGCCACCGAGTACCTGTTCCGCCAGTAGTTGGAGCCCTTGGCGTTCTTCTCATAGTCCACATCATAGTATGCCACCAGCAAGTCCTTCCCCTGGATCAAGTCTTTGTTGTCTTCAGTCATGTGTGGGCAGATGCCAAAGCTATTGATGAGACAGATGTTAGCCGCTTCAGTTTCACTGCCCAGAACCCATCACCTCCCAGGAGTGGGCTTGACGCAGTACGCTCTTGTTTCCCACCCAAGAACATTAAATGCTAGTCATCAGTAGTGAACTCACATGTTCTCCTGGATAAATTTCTTGATCTTTCCACTGGTGATTTTGTCTTCTGTGTACTTGACAGAGCTGTCCTCAAACTTGTTTGTCAGGCGCGGAGGACGGAATAAGACAATACCCCTGAGGAGAAGCAGGTATCGTCAATTAGTTTAAAGTACCCCTGGGTTTCCAAGGATGGCAGCTAGATGAATTAAGAACCCCATCTCCAGAGACCACCTCCATTCAGTGTTCATAGCTTCAACAAGACTGTCTAGTTTCTTGGTGGCATTACTGTATTAGGTCTACCTGACAGACCCTCCTCCATCATTCAGACTGGCTACAATGAGAAACAAAAAGACCCCACCATAATGGGGAAGCAAAACACCTCTGTTGAGTTACTTCTCATCTAGAGGCAGACACGAACCCTCCAGAGCCTGCAACCACTTGTACCTTTCCATCCCAGTTCCAAAGAGATAAAAAACATTTGCCACTGGCAGTTGGGGAAGAAACAAGACCTCAAGCCATGTTCAGAAAATGAATCCGGTTAACAACTGGAACCCATGAATTTGTTTCAGGTGTCTCAATAACAAGAAATCCTTGTGTCAAACAACTTACTCTCCATCTTCCTCATACTTCTGCACCAATTGGTCCTCACTGGTATGTGCAAAACGGTAGTTATCTCTTAGGTTGTTGGCGGCTTTCATGAATTCTGAATAAGCATCACCAGATGCATCTCCAAAGAAGCCTGCAGCAGAAAGACAGATGGTGACCCCAAAGCAACTCAGCAGCAGTCACTGTGCAGCCCTCATCATTTATCTCCACAATGCGCACAAAGATCACTTCTGAATTAAGTCCTCCAATGCAAGTTCTGGCCTTTACCTTTGACAGCTTCTCTCCCAGTTTTACTGGAACCTTTCTGTATTCCCCCCCTTCCACCAGCAGAAAGTTACTCAAGAGTCTGCCCAGCTTAGTCCTTCAGGCAAAAGGCCACTGTCCTCCGAGCACCAGGATATCCCCTTGTAACTACACGACACTACTAGTGAGAACAACTGCCAATTGTCCTGAACACAACTAAGTTCGGGAATGCTGATCGACACTCGTCCAGCTATGCTGGTAAGATGGCACCCGATCTGCGCAAAGGAAAGCTGCTGTTACCACTTGAAAGCCATGATCAAACCACACGGCGCCAACGGCCTACCGGTGTCATGAGACAGCACCTGAACGTACTTTCTAGCAGTCCAGAGATACCTGTTGTCAGCCAGCCAAAAGAGCAACAAACTTTAAAAAATGTACACTATGGTGCCAGGAGGCCTGACAGACGGTCAAAGAATCACAGGATTTAAAAAAAAAAGAAAGAAAAAAAAAAGCTGGAAGGAATCCCCAGAGGTCGACGAGTCCAACCTCCTGCTCAAAGCAGGACCAGCTTCAAAGTCAGATCGGGTTGCTCAGAGCTTTGTCCAACTGAGTTTTGAAAATCTGCCAGACTGAATGTTTCAAAATCCCTCTGGGCACATGTTCCACTGCTTTATCATTCTTATTACGAAAAACTTTTTTGCTCACGTCCATCTGGAATGTCTCTTGCTACAGCTTGTGATACGGCCTCTTATCCTTTCACCATATATTCCCCAAGACATCTCCCAGAGCCAAGCGTCCACTCATTTCAGTGCTGCACTGCATCTACTCACCCACTACAGAAGCATCTTTATCACCAATGAATTTCTCAAAATCAGCCACAGAATTGAGAGCCACTGAAGCAGGTCCCGCCTGTTTCTTGAGATGACTGACAATCCCATCTTAAAAGAAAAGTTAAACAATTAAAGGGACTGATACAAAGTTCCACGTGACATTTTTCAAGCTTCCTAAAACAAAAGTTCTTTCTGCAGCATCCATACACCTCTCCCATACAATAAATACGTTGTGAATTGAAGGAGCGCTGTCACCAGCTTTACATAGGACCTTTCTGGCATTTTCCAGACAGGGCACATCAAGGGTACTAGGAGTTAAAGACAGTGTGGAAACCTTCACCTTTAAGAAAGAGCTTTAAGGAATATGAAACCAGCACAAAGAGTTCTGGAAAGGGCAAAGGGGGGAGGGGAGTGTGTGTGTAGGTGGGAACCTTCTTTGCACCCCTCAACACCTGTAACACCCCTGACACAGGTCTATTCTAGGTGGGTCTGCCTTCCAGCACCATTTCGTCAAGCCAGGTGCTTGCTGACAAGCTCTTACCTGCTGTCCTGGGCCCATCATAAGTTCCTGCCTCTTCTCCATCTCGAAAAATCTTCAAGGTGGGATATCCGCTGACTCCGTACTTATTACAGGTGTTTGAGTTTGCTGTACAGTCAACCTAAAGCAAGAGGAACATCGCTACTTAAGTGACCTCACCACCCATATGCACAAAAGAAAGCAACTTTGCCATTGCCCACATTATCATGTATAAAGTCTAGAGGGTCTGAAAGCTCTTGGGCATCTTTAACCAAAGCTGGATTCCTTTCACAAAAAGTGTAAGGATCTGCAAAGCATCTACAAGACCAAAAGTTGGAGAGCCAAGACTGGGGAACGAGGTAGCATGGGTGTAATGACAGGCCTGGAAAAAATATCTGACTGGGAAGATCAAGTAGTTGCAAATTTGGCCAGACTACACACAGAAAAATAGTAAAAAGGGTAGATTCTTCTAACCATAGGCTTAACAGGAATCAGCTGTTGTCAGCACCTTATCCGTCCTAAAGTTCCTACAACACCTGAAGAAAACAGGCTGACCTCAACTGACATGGAGGCCACGGTGCCGCTTCCCAGAAAGGAAGATCACCACCTCTATTTGAGAAAACCATACAAGCTTTCTGGTGGAAGAGAAAGAACGACAACCCTTACTTTGTAAGCCAAGGGACAGTACCACGAAGCCCAGTGCTGCGCCAGTTCTCGGGCTGCGTTACACAGCTCAAAGGCGGCTTCGCCCTCCCCGTGCGG